CACAATTAAAACTCTAAATAAACCCCTCTCTTTTCATTCTGAGCTTTATGACTTCAATAAAAATCGTTAGATTCCATTTTTTTTCCTCCACAAAACTGGAGCACCTCACCATTATGAAATTCTGACTTTCTGTCTTCAGAAACTTTCGTTTACCGTTCATGCTCGTAGCACTGGCAGCGGAATAAGCGGGACGTTATTGCGATCATGCACCGATCTTAATTTTTGCAGCTGCAGCTGCGCTGACGCTCCTAAAAATCTAAGCATTTCTTTAAAATCTTGAATACAGTTTCGGAAGAAAAATAACATTTGACAGAATTTTGTGCACCTTAAAAGCAATGGTGCAAAATTTCTCCTGTGAGTCTTTCAAGTACACTTCTCAGGCTTTTCACCATTCGTAAAAAAAAATTATCAGTGTGAAAGAATTAACCACATAGTGCAGTCAAAAAGCTCTAAAACTAAACAAATTCAATACGGACGTCATAATGTCCATAGAGTCGACTGATCCATTTCACTACGGAGACCATAGTGTCCATGTGGAACGTCATAGGTTGATGACCATCTCATTATTTTAGTCGAAGATTTTTTTGCTGCTTGAGGAGTTTGGTCTTCGCCAAGAATGTCGCTAAGCGCTAGTCTAGGCGATTCTTTTAGAATTCTCGAATAACCATGCCAGGACTTCAGACACCGTTATCATAATCCCGTTCCTTGTTTCGCATCGCGAAGAACGAGTTGATAAATAACAAGTCTGACACCAACTTTCTGCCCTCAGAGAAATGGTAGGTTTAATGAGCCCAGTGAGAGGTCCAACCAATGCCTTGGTTGTACTGACCGACCAGTGTAGCCCAGAGATATTGTTATAGGGAAGATCAGGAAACTCCTTAACACGGCCATTGAAATAGCCGATAGCAAATATACCCGAAAAACGTTCAGCGACATTCATGAAGAAGATCAAAAATCCAAGGTTGCAGCCCCACTGACAAATCTAATGACATTCATGGATGACAGATGCGTGGAACGAATCGTATACGAGTGTTGCAATCCTCACGGGAATTTGATATTAGATCGTATGAGAAAAATGCCAACCAGTGCTGCAATGACTGTTCCTTTTCAAAAGAATTATTTTTTCAGTATATATGCCGGATACCATATACTTTGTGGCTCACTGAAATTCCTGCATACTATTCGTTGCCTCGCATCCATCATTCACCAACTTCTTCCAATTTCTCAGGTGCTTTTAGCTACTACTTGAGGATCTTTCATTTTTCGTACTAGTATTGTTTGATGCTGGACTAGCCGACCCTTAAGTCATGAGATAGTCGCATAAGGCTCCCCTTCCAGGTATTCACCACACAAAGTCGTCGAGTTTCATTCACAGGAGAGAGTTTTTTCAAACAGGCTTAGTACAACATATTACTCATGAGTTTTATTAATGACACATTCACAAAATGTCGGCTTGGAAATATTTGGTATTTGTGCAGGACGTAAACCGTACATCATCTTGTTGGAACAACAGAGTTCACTGTCTAATGCCGAGGTTAATAGAAAGTCGGACTTGAGAGTTCACTGTTTTTCTTGATGAGGAAACATGAGGTTGTTATTGAAGCATTCACTAATGCACAACAGCTGATACTTCGTCGGTTACGCCTTTTTGAGAGCCTGGGAAGGTCTAAATGACATGCAATACACTCGGCCAAAAGCTTTCATAACCTTAGCAGAGAATGCTTAATGCATAAAATTTCCATTCTCGTAATAAACAACACGATGACTCGTGAAGAAGACGAAAACGCCACGTGGAAAAGGCGAACAGTCTCCTATTAGCCGTAGATACAAAGGCCTTTCACTTTAAAAGAAGGGAACAATGGAGCACTTTCTTGGATAATCAGCGGGTTTTCCTGTGTTTCTATTATATTTTAGCTTGAGGAAAAGACTATAAAACAGAAGCGATTTCTGGTAAGCGGTCTTTCGTTGAAAGTAGAAACTTCTTGCGTATCATGCTGTGCAAGATAACACTTCATTACTTTTTATTGCCACTTTGTTCGCTTTGGTACGACGTCAAGAAATCACAAAACAGTACTTCGTTGATGCTAGTTGTAACAAACACATTTCAGCTTTCTAAGGTAGGACGGACACTCGCCATTTCTTTTTCTGGTTCCATTTCGGTGTAGAAATTTATTTCGAATCACAGCCGGGTCCACTCACTTGCCTGCAAGACAATCAAAATTGGATGATAGCTCATCAGTTTAATCGAATTCTCTACGATACCGAGTATACATAAATTGAATTTTAGAACTAAGCGTCATTACTTTGTCAACAAACCCGAGTAGAAAATAAATCACTAGAAAAAGTAGTGCTTTAATTTTATTTACTGCAGATGTTGAAACATTCTGATTCCCACTGCAGCTTCAGTTTTCTGAGTGAAGTGCTGATGTATGCTACCTGCATCATTCGCGCTAACGGGTGATTGCTGAAGTGCAACTTGAAAGTCGATGTTTGTATAAGCTTGGAGTCAGTAATCAATAACTTTCCAATTACTAAGCCTATACGGTTCTAAGCGCGCGTGTGGCGCAGTGGTTGGAGGCGCCACTGCGACACATACTTGGAATTGATCCCCTCGCCTATGGCTCACCAAGCCTTCCAACCCTTCGGGGTCGGTAGATTGGTACTAGACTTTTCTGGGAGGATAGCAGCATTGGTTCGATGCATCGGTAGGCCACTGCGACACATTGTAAAGGCCATCTATGCATTCGATCACCTCCAACGATACTTAATGAAGTCGAATGGATGGCTCATCCTTCAGCAATTGATCAACGCCGAGAGCTTTTTTCATCCTCTATACGGTTTCAACGCCTTCGCCTTACTTAGAAGTGTATCTTACTTAGAATCGAATCGTCTGTCCAGTGCAAGCTTAATAATCCAAAAGATATTCAAAAAATGCGTCACATCGCAATGTATTCAAATGGCTATATTATTTGAATATGAGATAAAATTGTAAAAGGACAAATCTTTAGACGTTGCTCAACTCCTCAGGGATGCCCCATGCATTCAACTTTGTCAAAAAATCCTTAGAGGTGATTGTATGCATATTTGGCCTAAAAACTGATTCCCGGTACCTTGCCGATGTATCGAGTTAGTGTTGCTGCCTCCCAGACAGGTTTGGTCCCAATTTGCCGACCTCAGAAGGGTAGGTTTGGAGAATCAGGCGCGCGGAATCGATTCAATGACCACGTCTTCAAGGACACCTCTAACCTCTGGGCTTCACACTACCTTGATGCGTGATATACAGTCTTCTAATAACAAAAGTCATGATTCTTGTGCTTAAAAGAATCCCGCATATGATTACTTGCTTTCTGTCAAAACTAATTCGATGAGTACCGCCAACACGTCAGCGACATTTCAGCCAACAATGGCTGTATGGAGAACGTTCCATTTAAGTAAAGAAGATGAATTTAAAATGAAAAGAGAGATGCCATACGATTGTCGACTTCGAGATTAAACCGTTTATAGACCCAAAAATTAGTAATTTTTATATCAAGCGAACATACATCACACATTGTACTCATCTCAGCATGTCATGCATTCGAGTCATTTCCTCGCATCCACTATCCAAGGTTGGACTGTTTCTTAAGACGCAGGATCGACTTGTTTCTTAAGAATTCTTCTTCTTTGTCATGAATGTCATAGAATACCGGTTTAGACTATTCTTCCTGGAATCCTGGAACAGTTATGCTAGAACGATCCAAACCGTCACATACAACCATCATTTCTTGTTGATTTGAAGAACCTAGCTGATCCCAGACGAGCCCGAGACTGATTTCTGGACCCGGATTGATGCCAAACTCTGTGAGTCTACAGCGACGTAGAGCCTCAGCATTGCTCCTATTAAACGGCATCATTGCCATTGCACTGCTCAGTTTCTTCTAGTATTAGCAATTTACATACAAAAGTTGACAAGAATCTGTGAAGAGATGTCCTACTTCGTGGTCACGAAGCACAGATGTACATTTTAGGCAGAAAATGTGGCGAAAATTCATTTTTTTCATTAGATTCACTTTATCCTTGTATGTCATTTATATTGACTGGTTTTCTCCTGAAATTGATTACTTAAGGCACCAACATCGCGAATGCAGCTGACTTTACAATGATGCATTCCACACAGCATAAACCACTGAGCACGATAGACCCTCAGTTCGTGTTTCTAACACTGTTTATGTCTGTTAATCTTATTATTATGACCACTAAAATGCATTCGTCATGGATGCTTTTCGTAGATTGCTATACGCCTCTTCTGCCTTCTTTATAATTGCTGTTAAACCTTTTTCTAAATTCATCCACAAAGTTCTCCTGAGTTTTTCAAATAGTTGTAGGCTCTGTGATTATTTGTGTTGTCGGGATTGGTCGTCGCATCTGAGGGCATACGCCTCATTTGGAAGCGATTCGGGAAAGGCCGTCAGCTTTCCAACTAATTCCATCATGCTTCCTCCACTTGCTTTTAACAATCTACACAATTTTTCTTGATAAGTGAACATTTTAAAGCCATAAATTGAACACAATACTTAATGAATGCAGAGCTGGACCACCCTTCCTATGCAACATTGTCCGACTTCAAACTTTCCATTTTTTTGTAGTCTCTCTTGAAAAGCTTCTCAAAAAGCTTATGAGCATTCCCAAGCTTTATTCTAGCTGCTATCGATTTATATTGTTTCTGTCAACTGACGCAAAGTTAATTTAGGCAGGACCGTCCACATAAATCTTTTTTGCATTTACGCTTTTGTAGAAGTAGCAAATATAGCATATACAAGCTTCTTAATAAGGTTTAACAAACATGAGTGTTTTTTATCGGGCATGTCGTCAATACTTCCTTTGCGTAAAAATTCTTGTCGCTTTAGATATTGATAGTACCGATGCCATGATTATCAGTCTTCAGGGAAGACATGACCAGCAAGCTTTTACCATTTAAATTCCGTTGACCTAGTCGTCTGTCCATCTTCTAACCTTCCAAAATGGCTTTGAGTTGTACAGCAAGAGCTTTGAAGTTTTCACTGTTCGTCTTCAATCTCGTATTTCTGGTAAGTTTTCCGTATGTATTTCGATTTCATCGTGGAAAACGATGGTGTACGCAATAAGAAAAAAGAAACAATCTGTGCAAATTCTGGGCTAAAAAGAGATGATTTGTGAGATTTCCACTATATGTCTTAACATCTCATTATAGCTTCAATTGTGACGCTATTGAATGATGTGTTAATTGTAAACGTCGTGGAGTACTACTCCAACATTTTTTTTAATATTTCCAGTCTCATTTTTGTTTCGCTGTATACTCTATCAATTGTTAGTCTTGTCCATAATTTTATCCATTTACTGATTTCCAGTATTACCCTTAACAGTGTATGTAGCGCTGTAGTAGGAGGTAATCTGCAATCCACATAGGCTCGATCCCGCGCCCTAGGCTCACCAAGCGTTCCATCCCTCCAGGGTCGACAAATTGGTATCAGATCTCTCTGCAACGGTAGCAGAATTAACTAAATACATTGATGGAATACTGCAAGTCATCGTTCAGACGAGAAACGTAATTGGAGATCATCGCATCTTCTATATGAGGCCACATATTTTAATACACTTGAATAGACATTGTTCCTAAGAGCCCGTTCTGCTCTGCTGTAGTATAACTTACTTTTAAAAGCGCTTGGAGATAAAAGTTGTAAACTAATTGCCGCTTTCGTGACTCTTCAGAGGTTATAAACTCTATCGCTGTACATCACAGTACGACACCTCCTAAGAAACCTCTTGCCAAAATAAGGCGGTGAAGCGTCAAGATGACATTACCTACCTTCGTGATTACTTCCACTTTTATTTTGCCTGACTCTACACCACATGTTGTGCAGCTTGCACTACTTCTCGTATTTGACCCCTTTACTCGCATGCACTAACATCAAATGGGAGGTTGCCCAGTGGTAGCGATGCCGTTCACTACCACTATGACATTGGCTCATCGAATGGTTTCAGCGTTGGTTTTGCGCCATTTTCCTGACAAGCCGGCGACAAGGAAGGATTGATGAACGAAGAACGTCGTGAAGCCACCACCTTGGTCGTACTTGACGGCATCACTGCTAACATACTTCCCGCCACCTGATTTGCCTTAAATCTAACACGAGGTTTAGATATATATAGATATATATAGATATAAAATTTATGGGATAAAGCGTTTAAAAAATCATCATGTGCTGCAGAAATTGAACTGATTGGCATGTAAAGAAACACTTTAGAAGATAGATTTGCATACCGAGCGAATGTTATCAGCTTTTCGTTTTAAGAGAAGTGCCTGAAGATGTTATTGATTGAAGAGAGAATCAACCACACCTACAGATCCTCGCCAAAAAGACTGAGATTTGCTTATTCCATCAGTGAAAATTCGCTGTTCTCGGAGGCCACAAATAATTTTCTCTTGTCGCTAGTGTTTAACTTCACATTCGCATTTCGAAAATGAAAGCATCTGAAATAGCGGAGTTTCGTCCACTAGAACGCTGCGCCCGGTCCCGAATGCGTCGTTGGTGTGTGCGGCTGCCGCTCATGCCCTACATTAACGATTCCATTTTTTTCCACTTCTTCAGAAAACTCTAATCTTAGAAAAGCAAACAAAAGCGGTGTTTTAGAAGCCACGAAAAGGAAACCTCGTGAAGAATATACGAGCCCTTAGAGTAACAGAGGTTTTTTCTATAGATTCCTTATGTTCTCAGTCATTCATATACTTTAGTTATTAAAAAACTGATATACTTACATGTTATCATCAAAAGAACAGCTACAGTACTGTGTCGATGAGTTTGATATTAAGAAGATTTAATTCAAGGCGGTCGAGACACCCGAATATTCAGACGTAACCCCTCAATCATGACATAGGGAAACAAACATTTAAAAATTTTAGTCCAGTTTAGCAGTTGTGCCTCGAAACATTCCTAGAAGAATTCAATTTATTGCTTTTTCATGCGTCATCAATAGGTTTAGTTCTAGTTTCCCCTGGTTTCTTCTGTTTCACAGGAAAATTTCAGACGCAACGACCATCTAAGGCAATTTCGAACTGTTTTCTCTTACGCTTTACACACACTAAGATAAATGTGAGGATTCCGAGCGAAACCATCACACGCAGCGAGCAGCTGTTTTGAAGTGTCCATGTCGACAGCACTTACCACACTTGCAACGTCAACTTGTCACAGATGAAAACGCCATGTTCTCACCCTTTGCATTCTTTTGCCAAGATTTTTTTCTTGTTCGCACTATGCACGAAACAACTGTCTAGAGTTTAAAAAGACGTAGTTTACACCAACATGTTCGCTATTAAACGTAGCCGTTCCTCTTGCGATTTCCCTAAGGCCCAGTTTTCCTCAGAATGAAACCCAATAAAAGTATTTCTCATTTTTTCTCCATGTTCCAGAAGCCTTTCCGAACCTGAAGACTTTAAGCGAGGAGTGCTTATTTCTTGAAACGATGACTTATGTAATAAATGTTATGTCAGTAGAATAATAGGGCATATTTTGCCATTGTTCTGGACCTGCAGCTTTCTCATAAGTATGGAGTGTGCATAGGGTGCCACAGAATGTTTCTTCTCCTTGTGACAGAAGCAAATACCCAATCACATGCTACTTCCATTTTCCCATCTAGAACGACGAAGTGTAAAAATCCACTAATCTACCGCTTTTCTTTTTTATATTCGTAAAGACTAAATATAAAGTAAGGAAGAGGTACCACATTGGTTAATGATGCGGTCCACCAGGAACTAAGGTGCTGGTTCGACCCCCTCCCCAGCGATTTCCTATAATCCAAGTGGGAACGCCTTAGCTATACTATCTCCAAGACTGCAATTAGAATGGACTCAATCAGCGCCCCACGACACTCATAAAGAAGACGATGATTCTTGAGCAGCATTCGAAACAACACGCAATGGTTCGAAGACTATTGTGGAAGGTGAATGCAAGGAAAACGAATCAAATGATAAAGGAGCTGCGAATTTTGAATGTGTTGATGGGTCGTGTAAAGTAAAATAAGAAAAAAATATGGAAGTGAACATAGGATAAACTAAATTTCGCAAAAGATTTAGTTGCATATCTAAAAACTTTCGAGGGTCATAGAGGTCCACTGAGAATACCACTTATCTCTTTCCTTAACCTTCGTCAGCTACCAGAAAGTGTTTGATTGCAAAGATACCAACACCAATCTTCCCACCTCATTCATGTAGATCTGGACTCGCCCAACAAAACGACGACCTCTAAGTGCAGCAGTTAATGTATCAATACGATAAGACTTTCCGCTGACCACTATTGTAAGGGAATAAAACAGGGCAACACAATATACCCATAGTCGTTCACCACTACACTAACTATTTTCGCCAACTACACTAACGCATGCAGTCACTGTGTTCCGACCACATAAGTTTCGTCGAATGCCCCCACTACAACGTTCGTTTTGCTAGCAGCATTTCTATCTAATCCAACAAAGCCTCACAAACATAGAGAAACCATGTCAAGCTTTATCAAAGAGGAAAAGAATTAACTACGAGTTAGTAAAAAGAAAAGCCAATTAGTGAAAAAAGCCTTGTGTGGATATGGACAATTAATCCGAGATGCATCACCGATTGAAACAGCAACACACTACATATACATATTTCTGGAATGTTCAGTAAATAGAGATAGCAATTTGAGAACAAAAAAGCCAACGAGTTGCATAGGCTAGATCTAGGGTCTGGTGAAGACATTGCTTCCTCTCCAATCTTTTTGATGCAATATTTTTGATATTTTTTACTGCAAATACATATCCTGATATTTCGTTTTGCTACATAGAAGTGTTGCTTATAGTATACAAATCATTAGAGCAGAATCTTCTATAGATGAACCGCAGCACAAACACCAAGCTGGTCACCATTGTTTAAATCTTCAAATAGCATCCCGGAGACCCAGCGAAATGCTGCTCAAAAACATCGTTGTCATTTTGTTACTGCCAGACGAAAAGGGCTTCCGTTTTACTTTTCTTTTTACCTTTGTCCGGTAGAATTTGATATAGATCAGATGAGCGTTTCTTTATTTTTTCCTTGAGACAATTTCCATCTCTCTGAAATGTGTAAATAGTATAGTGGTAAAAGGATGTGATATATACCCTTTATAATTGGCATCTCCAACACCCACATAAAATCTTAGATCAGCTTTAAGTTAATTAATGGTTTTCCACGAACTGTCCGGATAAAATTGTTAATTTTCAGTTATGCGGTATTGTTTGCGTAGGAATTGGCACATGGCTGATCCTCGACAAGTACGCCATCGACAATATTGCCTTTGCGACGGCACAAATCAAGGGCTATGAAGAGGATGCTGGACTGAGAGATCTAGTGAATAATTTGTGATCACTTATGTCAAAGAACACTATATAAAGAACAATAGAGAGTTTGTTCTTTGAAGGCAACTAAACCAACGGCAGTCCGTCAAATTGGATACTTGCTGTTGGCAGGTGGCTTACTCGTCATTTTTGTTGCATTTCTGGGATGCTGTGGAGCAGCTAAGGAATGGCGGCCACTTCTGTGCTGTGTAAGCAATTAGCGTTTCGCTACAGTAACAAAGAAGGTGTTAAGAAAAACGGCAAATTTATAAATAATTCACAATGTTATACCTTTTTATTTTCTGCCAACTATAATTTCGCGGCAGGGTACTAAGCGAAATACAACCACAACATTGTTGAGATATTTGCAAAACTCTGGACCGCAGGTGTCTATGGTAGGGAACGAACGCGCTATTGTCCTTTCCGGGGAGTAACGCGCTCACCACCACACCATGCGGGTCCTTCGTTTCTCCGGTCCATAGTTTTGCAAATATCTTAGCAACGTTGTGGTTGTATTTCGCATAATTCACAATGTTTATTTATCCCTCTTCTGCTCATACCTTGCGTAGGAATCGGCACATGGCTGGTCCTTCAGTTATGAATTCAATCACCTCCAAACGTTGCTTAATGAAGTTGAATGGATGGTACACCCCTCAGGGATTGATCAACGCCGAGAGCTTTATCCTTTATTTTTTTCCTGCTCATACTTGAATGGGCTTCCATTGCCACTCGCACGAACTCTAGAATAGGTTTCAATGGTTTCATTCCCTGTAGAAAGTTATTCATGGAAGTAGTATATTTTTAGAAACTTTTTTAAGAAGGTAATCCGTTTTGCATCACATTGTCTTCTTGTACCAAATTTTGGTCTAGAATCCTATCCGGCTGATAGAAGGACTGTTGGTCAACGTGACGTGACGTGACGTTCAAAGATCTTACAAGCAGTTTCCGCTTCGCACGTTTGAACTTCCTTGGTGTTAACTAAGTGGCTTTTTTAAACCAACTGTCGTCAGCTGATCTCACCACATTGCCCGCCTATCCACTCAACACAATGTTTGACAATTTTGTTGGATGGCAAAAAAAACTAACTGTTTCAACTCTGAGCTGGTAAACCATTCATAATATTGTATGCACTGGTTATGTGTCAAAAAAAATCACTTATGACTTTGTGGTTAGTTTGCAAAATATGCTAGCCAGTGCTTCAAATTAGCGCACCGATGGTTTCCATAAACTTCACCGCTTCTCATCCTCTACGCTTTCTCCCTTTCTGTTCAGTTTCCGTTGCACCTATTATTTGGATTGAAAGAAAATTTTTGTGAGCAGAGTAATCAGAATGCAATAGACCGTCCCATTGCCACCTGTAGCCATCGAATTTCTTCAAGAATCTTCTCCGGCTTTCTAGCAGTATTACGACTCGTTTACTTCTTCGCTGAGCTGTTTAAACATCGCCTTTGCTTCCCTGATACTTCTTAAAAATGTGATAGTCTCATTGGTAAATTGAAGGTGTTCCATCATTTCAAATGCTTTCTTCGTCGTAATGCTTCGATTCTTTTATTCACCACAACAAATGAACAACATTGGATGATCTCGTGTTGCTGGACGGCTTTAAATACAGAGGTAGTGCGCACTATGGGTACGTTGTGGTGGAGCTATTGTAGAAGTCGGTTAAAGTTGCTGTGTAGAGTGCCTCTTCTCGTTGGTTACTGGTCGTTAACATTACTGCTATCGCTTTATTATAAATATAAAGTGTTCTCTGTAGTTAAGAAATCTAAGGAAAACGAAAGTAGTACCAGCCGCTCAATCCTAATCACGCTGTCGATACGACCCGTATGGAGCCCACGTTGAATAGCTTAGTCAACTGGTCTGAATGTATTCAATGCATTTTATCTAGAGGGGATTACATATGTGAAAATTTATAATACAGACTTGGCAATGGTTCTTTTTCTGCAGCGAAAACGCTGATGCTTTTAAAAGGTGTGTAAGCAAAAGTTTGAACTGAATGATTTCGCCCTTTGTTTTGCATCATGGTAAAAGGTGGAAACGTTCCATTTCCAGGCATGATACAGAGAAATACATGGTATTTAAAACTTCTGTCGCTCTTTTTGGTATTGGTTTGTACTGTATTTTGCCCTAGTTATATATTCTTGTTGCTGTATCCTTGTAGACTCACTTACTGGAATCTTTTGCGCTTAATATTACTTATTATTAGTTCGGTGCAGTTTACTCTCCTCGCACTTAGTCTTACGAGTTATCTTTTCCCATAACCACTTTTAATTATGTAAACTACGTTGACCAAACTTTCTCCTTTTATTCAAATGAAATAATTTGGGCGCAGTTTCGTAGTTTCTTTCATCTTCTTCGGTTGGTTCTGTATCGATATATCAGTCATGCAGCGAAGTTTTCTACTACAATTTTGTTACCAAAGGCATTTACCCTTTATTTAAAAGTTGTAGCCTTGTTTCCATCTCATATCTGAATACTATCAAGGCCGTTATTGGTCCTATTACATTACAACAGCACTCGGCAATGTCCAGCAGTTACCCTCCTTGTGAGCAACATTCGGTTGAAAACGAATGCGAGAAAAAACGAGAAAACCTTTTAGAATAAGGTAATAGGGATGGAATGTGAAATTCAGATGTTTAACACAGCCTTGCAGATTATAGCTGTTAAGTACTTTAGTAGACGACTGAGAAAACATCGAAAACACCTTAAAATCTTTTCAGTACGCCACTTGTCTCATGGTTATCCTGGCGACCGAGATTGCAGCCGCCATTTATGCAGCAATGCATAGTCACATGGTAAATTAGCAATGTTTTTTTCTGCGAAATTTCACATACTTGCTGCCGAAATCAGATTTTTTGTGCATTTTACCCTACCGTGAGAAAAAGAATAGAAAGCAGGTAAAATTCAAAATGTTGCGATTGTGACTACAGCTTCAGCTTAACTGGGTTTAAACCCAATTTGTGCCTCCCAGATCATTCCCATTGACAGGTGACTGCTGATAGCAGCGACACAGTAAAGAAATTGACATAAAAAAGCAAAGAAACGGCTTCGTTGGTGTGGTGGGTACCACATCAGCCCTCGCAAAGGTTGATCACGGGTGCAAAGCTAATAGTTTCCCAATGTTTCCCAATGCAGGATCCTTGATGTTGTTTTTCACATAATAGCCTGCCGTAAAAAAGAATAGACAGTAAATGCATGTTAAAACATTGCGATTTCTGGTGGTTAGCAACTTTACATATAATGCAAACACTAAACAAACAATCTTTTCAGTTTGAAAACGACTTTCGCGAGATTCTTCGAGCGTCACTACGGTTATATAATGGAACTGACACGAATCCTAAGAAGAACGTCGATGGGATGCTGATGAAAACGGCTTGGGATAAACTTATGATAGAGGTAGTCTTAATTTGAAGCTAAGGGCAGTATCGTTGGTTTATAAGTTAAGTTTCAAACCAAACACATGCGTGGAGGATCGTAATCCCACTGATGATCTCGCTATCTGACTATGGACAGTGTGTTGAGGAAAAGAGTAGATATTACAACATTCGAAGTAGTACCTGCACGTTTCATCCTAGACATACAACTATTCGTCTTTAGAAAGACTGCTGCGGTGTTGACTCAAAAATTGGAGAGTTTAACGAGTCTGGATGGTTTCAACTTACAAAAGGCCGTTATATGTTTCCTCCGGCCTGCTGTCCTCCCGACTCCGACGGAAAGCTCACACCCATTTGTAATCTTATTTCACGGCATAGAGATGTGAGTGCCATGTAATTCTCATTATAAGCTGGCCCTAAACTTTCTATTTTTACGATCGAAAACCAAACAATTCATTGTACTGCATTACATGAAATGTTAAATAGCACTAAGAAGAAACATGAATTTGCTGATTGTCTGACTTAAACTTGTGAGAGAGCTTAGTGCCGCATGTAAAAAAAACGCTACAAAGACAGATGCTGCTTCGTTGATTGGATTGGCATTGCAATTAGCAAGGATCTATCGAATATTTCGTAATCAGTACATTTTTCATAGCACTGCAAACGACACTTTCTTAGCTAGAGCATGCCATTCAGGGATGTTACGCTAAAATCGCCGAGTCTTTCCAAGAGCTTACATCACATTTCAAAGTTGTTTCGTGGACTGTGGTGTTAATTGCTTTGATACAGGTGATTGTGATCATTTTGCAAAAACTATATCACTAGCAACGACCATACCGACAGCTCCAAGGTTGCTTTTGGGCTTGCTTCAAATATTTTGTGACGTCATGAATATTCGGATAATAACTCGCTATTTTCTTGATTTGCACACACGAAAATTTCACTATGCATCATTTATTTGCAACAACTGACGTTTCGATTGTTTTCACCTTATTCAAAGCCTGGGAAGGTCAAATCCACTGCAATCTATATCAAGCCGAACACCGCCATAACCAAAGCAGTAAACCATGACACCTAATTTTTATTCGAATTAGATAAAAACAGCTTGTTCGCACTCTTCGCATTGCTCTCTGTGAGCGTTTTACTGAATATTCTACGTTAAGAACAGCCGCATAGAGTTTACGTGAATTTAAACCTCTACATTACCTACCCATGTGGACTCTGTACGTTTGTTCGCCATGTGAAATGTTCAATGGACGACTCATTGAAAGCGGTAGGTTTGAGAAGCTATTTTATCCTTAATTTGTTTAAGATTTTAGTTTGGTGTCTTTTTGTTTTGCTTATGAAGGTGTCTGCCTGGATAGATTGCAGTCAACTTGACCGGTCTGGCCTCTTAAGGAAGAGAAAATCACCGAAACGTTAGCAGTTTAAAGTAAATATTATATGACAACAACCTAATATGTGCTAGCAGAGAGAATAGGAAGTTATTCGTCAATAACAAGGTTAGTAGCAAGTCGGTTTTAAAAATTCTTCGGACAATTATATTACGTCTTCCTGTCGTTGCTAATGATAAAATCCTCGAATAGGGCCTCCTGATCTTCTTTTTTTCTGAAAGTTTTGTTGCCAGAAGGAGAACACTGCATGCGCTTCTTGTAGGTGTTTGGAATAATCGTGGGTTTCTGGCTTTGTGACTCAATTACGTCCGAGGACGACTTATTCTAAATTCGGCGAATGACCGCGCAAGTTCACATTTGCAGGTTTGCTTTCTAGTGCTAACTGTTGCCTCCTAACCCTTCCGCTAATGCTTCATGTTCAATCGCAAGCCTGCTTTTGTGCTACCCATATCTCTTGTCACACATTGAGTAATTTTTAATATTTATCTGGAAAATTGGAAGTGATGAAAAATATGAAAACGAAGCACTTCATTAAAACCGTAGAGTCTATTTTATAATTTTAAGTGCGACGAATTAGACTTTTTTTTCCTTACTTATTTTTCTTTGAAACAAATGCAAACACTATCTTGGAACCTTGAAGAAACGCCTCTAGTTTTATCACAGCTCTCCAGTCAATGTTTTGTAATGTCACTTGACCATGCTCACTTGACGAGCATGAAATATTTTCATAGGGATGCATAATCCACTTGTTCCTCAAAAATCGGCTGCAGTTCTCCGCCACTTTTGGAATACTTTTTGTCTTGTGCGTTCTCCAGGTATATCTCATGTTCATAACTGTGCATGTTTTTCCTACCGATCTATATCCCTACGTACCACAAAAATTTTATGATACTCTTTTATTTCCAGGTAATTGGCTGCATATTGGGTCTAGCAATGTATCATCACATTCAGATAGAGATGTTGTATTACTACTAAACTTTCGGTGTATTATAGAATCCATATAATAAATGTTCTAGCACATTTTTCAATCTTCTCCTTTTATTTTCATAAAAATGACCTCAATGTCGAGCGCCAATTCTTCAAGCATTGCATGAGAGATGCTTCGTTACCTCTACGGCACTTCCTCACGATTTCAGCACATCTTCAATTTGTTTCTCTCTCACCAATTGTTGCGTATGGTAGGTGGCACGTTTCGATCACGGTGATGTCGGCTAAACACATTCCTTAGTCCTGAAATTACAGCGCCGATAGTAACGTTAGAAAAAGGATTGGCTGAGAGAGCGGCAAAGCAAGGATTTCGTTTTGTGTGGTGAATAGCATGTGAGCTCCCTAACAGTGTAACCGCAGGTTCGAAGCCCAGTTGAGGCGCCAAATTTTGCTTATATCTCCTCATCCTTCTAGCTGTGTTCCAAAGCCCCAAAATTGTTTCCTGACGTAAAGCATGCGTCCGCCCGTCATTTAGGTGATCATCGCTTGCATCCATTTGTAATCTACGGCACCGTTCCCTCATTGCACGACCTGTCTTTCAATTTCTCACTATCGATGTATATTCTCGTGGATCTCGAAGAAAGGATACAGTTCGAAGATCTGAGCTATGCATTCTGGCTAACGTTGTGAATACCCATTTAATTTAAGAAAGCATAGTTTTAACGATCTATTGGTGATGCGAAGAATTCTTAACATAAATTAACCCTGCCGCGAAATTATACTAGGCAGAAAATAAAAAGGTATAACATCGTGAAATTCTTAATATGGTTGAAATATTAGCCCACGCCTCTGCTGCATAACAGAGCGCTGGAAAACTGTTTGATCGCAAAGATAAGCTTAGAATATCGAAGCAATCAGTTGCTCGCTAACTTCTTTGAGACTTCTGAACGCTGCTCATGCTGCACCTGTTTAATTCCTTTTTCATGATGCTGCTCTCCGTGTGTACTGAAAGCCAATGCCCACGAACGAGTCAATTTCTCTAGTAAGAAAGCTATCCACTTCTATTTGTTTACCTTCGCTCCATAGATTTATTACAAACTAGGTTTCCTCCTAGCCGTCAGCAATGAAATCATCTTAGGATTATTAAGCTAGCACGAAGCTAAAAAAATGTTTATTCGGCTAATGTTCTTTGTCTTCCTCTACCTCAGAGTCGATGCTCCGAGTCAATGGTCCACATTCATTCGTATTCTTGATGTGGCGTCTTCGACTTCGAACTGAGACGAATCTTCTTCGGTGGAGTAGCGCTCAAATGAGGCAATCTCTCACGACAGCGCTCTTTTGTGCAAGCGACTATTCGTTGATAATCAAGCGGTATTTATTAGCTAGTTCTTAGTGGATGTGAATTCAATAATTTTCGAACCGACCGTTGTTTAAACTCGGCATTAATAACCAATATCGTTTTGGATTTTTAAGCTAACACAAGCTTGATAGAAATGTTTATTCGGCTAACGTTTTTATGTATTCGTCTTCGTCTGTCAATGTTTTTCTCTCTTTTTTCGACACACTGAGCATCGTCTTAACTTCTGCGGTAATTTTTGAATAGGTGAAAATGTCATCAGTAAAAGGTGGATTTGACAGTGGTTTACTATCAGTGCTCATGCTTTTCTGGTCCCAGTCGGGCAACTTCGTTAAGCAGTGCAATGCGACTATGAACAGCTTTGGTAATACGGTATCATCATGTCGAACCTTTTTCCAATGCAAATGGTAAGCAGTGTCGATGAAGCAGCTATGTATTCGAGCTTCAGTTTCGACACTGCTCAAATAGAAATCTTATTTACATAAACGAAGTTCACTCTACGGTCGACAAGCGCTGATAGGATTGCCTTCGTTTATACACTGTCAAGCTTCTGCGTTGTCCACAAAAGTCTGGACTTAGAGGAGGTGGCCTTCCTAATTCCTCTTAGAGTCCTGCGCGTTTAAATCGTTGCGCCTAATGAAGCTTTTAGATATGCAAAAGGATAATTTTCATAAACACCTTGTAGTATACACCCAACAAGCAAATAAGACATTTATGAAGATCCCTTCAGTTACCCTTTTTTGGCAAGATGGAAGGTGTTCAGGTTTCTCCACCAGCCTAGGATTTTCTTCTTTTGATGACGAGATGTCATATGGGATTCGAAGAGCACATATAGCATATCGCTTAGATTTGGAGAAAATTCTTGCAATACTATAGAGCCCTCGAACTGTGTTTTTCTTCATGCTTACTATCGCAACTCGAACTTCACAGACAAGAAGTAGAACCTCAGGCGGTTCTGGCGAAGAATGGGGCATTCCAGACAAAAACTTTAAAACGGAGAAGATTGGTATAACACTTTCCCGTTACCAATCCTATATCACGGTCGATTACCAGAGCCAACAGCAAGGCGTTATGACCGCACAGATCACGGCGGCACTTCATCATTATTTCAAGATCCTTTTTGAGCTGTTTCCAAGGACATTTTTTTTGCACCACTATAGGTTTTGTGCAAGAATCTCTCACAGCTGGGATTTATTAACGGACGTGTTAGGTGTGTGGCACTTGGATCATGTTTCAGCTTTCTTCTTCTGTTAAGCAACTTCTTACTGGTCGTTAAGATACGATCCGTTCTCCTTGCGCAGGGATCTGAGGCTAGTTTGGTGCTAGTTTTAAATCTCTTAATAAATAGCTTATAGTACTCTATCGGGCTGTTTTTTATGTACCAGTCGCATCAAAGAAGGATTTCATTGAGGATACCACCGTCGTGCACCACTTTTCTTGCTTTTCTTGGACGATGATACGAGTAGCTTTTCAGCTTGAATTTAATGTCCGCACGTAAAGGCGGTGGTCAAATCTTGTACAGGATCAAGATGCGACAGAGGTGTCATAAGAATAAGCACCTTCTGCATGTGAGAATGTGGTCGATATCCGCAAGATTTGCGCCGTTTGGAGACTCTCATGCCTCTCTTCTCCGAGGATGAAGCCTCATGAAAAAGAAATGATGTGAACAGCAGTTTTAAAAAATGGTTCTAACACTTAGACGGATTTAAAATTCTGGATTTTCCTTGCCTTTTTTATTTTTGTTAGCTCCACCTCTTATTGAAATCTCTAACACCGAATTTATGGAAGGACTTTCTGGTGCAGGCTCTGAATTTGCAACACGTTTGAAACTTCTGAAACTAAATAATTCTAGAAAAGCAGTTCTCCGTAGATCTTTTTAAATCTCACTGTACTAGAGATGACTGACTATGTGCAAGCATGTGAGAGTCAATTATGAGTTACGTGGGATCGTTTTAAGGCCTTGAGAACTTCTGAGTGAGAAATACTCGTCCTCGATGTTTTTTTAAAGCACCATGATAATTGCCACTAACCATTTCGCCAGTTGTTCTCAAACAACATGTAGAAATAAAGCGGTCAAGATAAAAAACAAGAATTCTGGCCAGTAAATGATTTATAGATTGATTACAAGATCTCACCTCATTCTGCTTAAACCCAGAAAACAATTATTTCAGTAGTCTAAGTACGTCTTAAAAAATTAAATCGCTAAAAAATGTGGCAGTTGGATAACCCCACTAGAAAAACCTCTCCCATTGAGAGACGCCAATCGGTTAGTTGTTGGCTACATGCTACACCAGTGAGTGGTCAGACAAAGTGCAAAAGCAACCTCATCCTTTCCCGAGGTGCAGACGGATTCTGTAGGCAGCTCCTTATTTCTGCTGCCACGACTTCGCTCACAGCTTCAGCATTTATCTATTATATGGATGTTCTCATTGTTGTGTTAACGTATGTGCAGGCTTTCTCTTACAAGTCAATTCATCCCAAACTCTGCATTCAGGTAGTTAAGGAGAGGTGGATGTAAGTCTCCAACAGCGAGTAAGCTCTATATGCTCTATATGCACTCCTGGTAAAGTCGAAAAGTTATTTGTGGTTGTACCTAACCCCATTCTAAAAAGTAAACTAGTTAGACGGGTGTATCAATCGCCAAACAGTGAAGTAAAACGGTACATTTCTTGAAGTGTATACGACGCTATAATCTTACGGTTAGTCAGCACTGTCTAAACTAGCAAAGACTAAGAGAAAATTTGTGCTTACAACGCATGGGCACCAGGGTTAAAAGTCAACGAAAAAGTGTCTCCAACTACATATTTAGTCTTCTTCAGTAAGTTAATGTGTAATGAATTTTGGCCTCTATTACGGGAAAATATTAACTGAAAAGTAATCGTTTTAAGACTTATGTGGCTCAAAACGGTGAACTTCAAAATTTTCACTTCAAAAGCTGAAGACGGAGCTTCTGCAATTCTGAGTTGCCACAGTATTCCTTCTCGGCATGGGAAATTCAGAAACTCACTCACTCTATATTTATTTCCAATTTTTTCCTATGAACT